CTCTGTCAGGGAAAATATTGTAACTTACAGGTTAGTTTTAATTACTGCAGTTTGATTTCGTTCGGCTTCTCTGACTGATATAAACACACACACAACGTTATAGCTCTATGAAAGACTCTGGAACACGCAGATGTCGATCAGCTATAACGGGTAATTTTTCTGGAAATAAGGAACACGCTTAATTCCTACCTTATTGTAGTGTGAGGTTTTATATCTATGCAGGTATAAAGAAAACAAAAATAGGCGACAGACTAGACTTCTCAGCTTTCTCTGGAGCTTCACTCACAGATAACAGCAGCAGCAGCAGCATTCAACTTGCGCGCGGCGCATACGTCACACACAGACTCGCGAGGTTCGGATCTCGCATCCGCAACCAAAAATGAAAGATAATTTCTTGATATATGTTCACAATTTAGGTTGAACTGCCCGCATTCTCCACCAATATGTAGCAAATGCAACATATAATAATATAATAAAATGTATTAAAGGGGGCCGAAGGCCAATTTAGCTCAAAGGAAATGATTCATTGATTTGCAATGAATCTATGGAACCGAATCACTGAACCGAGCAAATGACTCGCTTAGAGTTCATTTGAACGGGCCGTAATTATAACCAAATCTATAGTGAAACACTATGTCTTAGCAAGGTAACTTTAAATCGAACAGTACAAGACATTAAATGTGCAAACACGACACAAGAAGATTTATCTTTTCAAATATATGGACAAGACTTTATTAGCTATTCTAAGCACAAAACTAAGGTCTAAACATAATCACGCACACGCACACACACATTCATACAGTCGCGAAAGGGAAAGAGTGAGTTGGAAGAGTGAGGGAAAGTTTCAACTTTCTATATGCACGTAAGACATAACCTGAAAGGACCACCAAGCATTAATTTGAACCTTCATTTCTTAGAGAGGTTATTCAATTAACATTAAAGCACCAGTTCAGTTAGAGCTTGGAGTACTTGCGCTTTGTAGTGGCTGAGGGAATTCCCTTTGTCTGCGTCGCGTCGAAGGGGGGTTTCCCGGCCGGGTCCGTTGCGTGGTTTGTTGTCTTTGAAGTGCAGGGATGGAAGTTTCGCCGCTGGTCACGTGTGATTAGCAAGCGAATGAGAGTCTTTTCCAATTCGAAGCGCGTTGCAAACTTAACTTTGAAACGAGACTTTTACGAAAAAGGAAATAAAGGAAAGAAATGAAAGCAAGGCGAGTCGGATGGCTTGACTGAGCTGAATTGTAACCCTGATCTTGATGGGTTATTCGTCTGCTGGTCGAATTTGGTCTAGTCGATGTAGAAGCATGTGGACATGTTCTTTGTTTCAGAGATAAGCACGAACAGAACACTCTCTTGCTGGTTTTAGAGAGAGGCACGGACTTAACAGTTACAGAACAGAACAAAAATCACCTGAAATCTTCTAAATCTACAAAAATCTGATCATGAGGTCCTTTGTTCGGATCTTTAACTTAAACTCTAGTCCAACCTCCAAGAAGCTTCTGGCCAATTGGAGGCGGATCTACTTCTTGCTTTATCATAATTTATGCATGGTCTGTGAGCTGGTCTCCAGCACTTAGCAGAGACAAAAGACCATCGTTTAAACCTTATGATTATTATAATCATAAAACAAAACCTTTTACGCAGATTTCAATCAAGCCATCTTTTGAATTACGAGAATACGGTTCGTTTAAGAGCAAACGAGGCATTCACACTTCTAATGGTTGTATAACAATTACAAGAGTTAATAGTTAACAACAATTACATGGTTATTATGTGATCTAAGCATAATACACATGAAGTGTAGGAACAACAAGAATTATGATTGGTTATAGGTCCAAGAATTGTTCTGTGGTGAGTTTATATGATTTTATGTGTGAGATCTCCGATCTCAATCGTAAGGTTACTGAGAGTTCAACTCGAAGGGGGACGAGGCAAAGGTGTTCTGTGGAACATCTCTGTCAGGGCATCAGAGGGGTCTTTGATGTGAGATCTCGTTCCACCATTTTGGAGCTGATTTGTCTTAGTTAAAATTACCATATTGACACGTTCGTCCTGTTTAGTGCCCATCTCTTGGGCCTGTGGGGCAATAAAAGTCCTTATCTGCAGACAGCACGGAGTCGTTCCGTGACTCTGGAATGTGGGCTCCAGAACTTGGAGTGTTGAAGCCATGTGAATTAATCCCATGAGAGATTAATTTGATTAAGTTGTGTTTGATTCGCCTCGATTCTCTACAACGTCCATTGTCCAATCACACATCATAGCAACTGTTACTATGTGAGCAGGTTCGTCAAACATTTACTACAAGCAAGATGGTGAAGCGGTGAGACCTCCGTTCATCTTCGGAACACAGTTTAAGTTATTTTAGATTTAGTCTGAGAGCTTTCTGTCCCTCCATTGAAAATGTATGTACAATAAACTGTCCTTGTCCAGAAAGGTACATTTGAACTGTAAAAGGTAAAAACCTACACCCTTCACTCTACAGTTGTTTTAACAACTGTAAAAGATGCACCTTCAAATAAAAAAGTAGGTATTCAAATACATTGCTTGATATTTGATATCCGAATTCTCTAAAGTGACAGCCCTAATGAGGGGTGGACCTCAGTTCTTCTAGATCCAGGGGCAAGAAAGGTTTTCTGCATTTATTTTAAGTTAAATGCATTAATCTGAACTTATTGAGTTCAGAAAAATAAGAGCTCAAACCCATGTTCGGCAGGCAGCCTATATACATTTACATCATTAGAAAGGACTGCAAAAAAAAGCATCACAATAAGTGTATTGTGATTCTCAAAACATTTGCTGACCAAACAGAATTTCATTAAATTTAGTAACAACATATAACAATGTTTACATCATTTAATTTGGATAGATATAAGGTAGGCTACCTTATAAAGCTAAATGTTAAATTTTCTCAAGGAAAAATCTCGGTAACACTTTACTTGAAGGGGTGTGCATAAGACTAACATGACACCTTCATAACCATGACATGTCTTGAATATGAAGTAGGGTTTGTGCATGTTTACGACAACTGTCATTAAGTGTCTTTCGCTCAATAATGACATTTTTAATGCAAATATGACATTGTTTGAGATTGTGTTTGTTTTGACATCTTGACATAAACTATAACATCATAACCTGTCAGTGTCTTCGCCACTGTTATGAATTGAGTTTCCTGTATTGAACTGCAGGGAGTTGGTATTATTATTAAATATGAGGGGCTGTGCATTCCAGTAATTTAACCTCTCTTTGTTTAAAAAAAAAAAAAAGATTGGATTTTTTCTTTCATAAAATAAAACAGCCAAGTATTAAATCAGTGTTTACATGAAACATCGGCTAAATATAATTGCATGCTGCCAGTGAAGCTGTTAAATAAGTTTGTCATGGTTTAAGCCCCACTGATCTTGACGTTTGTGTACCTCAGTGTTTTGGATGAAAGCGGTGAGCTGTCTTTCCCTTCATTTGCTGTCTTTCATCAAGTACACATTTATGTGCGTGTTTGTGTGTTTGATTGGCACAGTTGCCTCTGTTCGTCAATACTCCCCCCACCCCCACCTGGTGTGCGATAAGCTTTGGGTAATTAACCATGTTTCTCACTCAGACAGAGACGTGACTGTTAATTCATGCAGGAGAGCTGCTTGAGTGTGTCTAATCTATTTGTGCGATCTGTCCGATTGCAGATCCGTAATGTGGAGACTAACCAGTGTCTGGATAACATGGCCAGGAAAGAGAATGAGAAAGTGGGCATTTTCAACTGCCACGGCATGGGCGGCAACCAGGTCAGCTCCTCATCTCTTTCAACACATATTTAGAGTAATGGTATTGATCTTTACAATTGGTTTGACACTGATGTATTGTGACCTTTTCCACCTGCTCAGGTTTTTTCGTACACGGCCAATAAAGAGATCCGAACTGATGACCTCTGTTTGGATGTGTCCAAACTCAATGGCCCGGTTATGATGCTCAAGTGCCATCACTTGAAAGGCAACCAGCTCTGGGAATATGACCCTTTGGTAAGTGTATCAGGGTCATGAAAAACCTGGACAACACAGACATTTAATGTTAATGTAATGTTAGGTCATGAATATTTGCCTCAAAAGTCATAAATTTATATGTAGAAATGTGGATGAACCCTGGTTAGTTTGTAACGGTAGGGGAACGTTACCATATAACTTTAAGAGAACGTTAGAGGGAATGTTGGAATGTAATATTAGGGGACCTTTGGAGTGGAACGTTAGGCGAATGTTGTATTGTAACTTTAATGTTAAGGGAACGCTTTTTACAAGTTGAAATCACGTAATTGCGGTACTTATGGCATGCCGTGAAATGTACAGTCAAACACGATCTAAAACAGCCACATAAACAAAAAAAAAGGGGGTCAGAGTCAGTAACTAACCCTAACCCTTTATCTAAGCATCTTACTGGTGTGTCAGTGTTATTCAAATAAATGTTTATTTTCTATTAGACCACATAACCTGTCATTAATTAGTTTTGAAATTTGAACGTGGATTTGTATACACAGATGTTTCATAGGACGTTAGGTCATGAATATTTGCCTCAAAAGTCATGGAAATGTATTGATAGAAATGTGCATGAACCCAGGTATATACAGTATGTGCTGCAGATCGCAAAATCACATTTACACTAATGCTCTTACTGTCCAATGGGGGCAAGGCATTGTATAAATCTTAAAATGAACATTTTGAATGTATAGCCACAATACTTAAACATTGTAAGCGTTAAATAACATGAGACTAGAATTGCTTACTAACCTTGTCTTAACTCATTTCATGTCCATGTAAGGCAGATGTTGCCTGGTATTTTCGAGTAAATCTGAAGACATTGATTAGCTGGTTTAGATGTGTTTGATTAGGATTGGAGCTAAACGCTGCAGGCTCTCCACAAGCAGGATTGGCTACTTCTGATAAAAAAGCCCTATTGCATGATGAGCATAAAGACACCTAAAGGATTGCAAACAGGGCTGACTTTGACAACTTTACTGTTGAGGTACACATTTTTGGAATTAATTTGTTGTATCAAAAAATACAAGCTTCTGTTTTTAACCTATTCTTAAATGCTTTCCCCCTAGACTTCTACTCCAAGTCAAATACTGTAAATGTTTGTTTTTACACACTGACAAGTGAAAAAGTGGTTTGTGGTAATCAACAACATGCCCCAAATGTTGTTGATAGACCTTTATTTGTTTCGAATCCAGAATACTCCCAGAACGTGCCTATTGTCTGATCCTAGACGACCCTTAATCTGATTCTGTCCAATCCTGCTGGTTGAGTTTAGCTCCAACCTTCTCCAGCACACCTCTAGCTATCCCCAATACCTTGTATAGCTGTACTCTAACTATAATTAGAGCAGGCCAGGGTTCAGTCCTACTCCCGCAGAGCCAATTTCCTACAGAGTTTAGCTCCTGGAAGTTTCTAGTGATCTTAAAGACCTTGGCTGTGTCCGAAATCACCCCCATACCATTAAAAAGGGCACCGTTACATGTTATTTTATTCTGGTTGTCTGTTCAGAATCTTGATCTCTATTTAAAACAAAAAAAATCATGATTCTCAATAAATCCAGAATCGTGCAGCTCTAGCACTCATTCAATCCCATAATGCTCCGCAATAACGTGTTTAACGTACATCCAACTGATGTACACTCAACGGCTAGGGAATACCCAGAATGCACTCTGAGGATCATGCCTAATGAATTCCCTCGTCTTGCCAGAAGATGGCACCTATAGTTGAATTATCCATCCATCCCATCCATCCATCCATTTATTTTTCAAACCGCTGGCCCAGTGTGGCAGAGTAAGACACCCCTGGACTAAGTGCTAAAGATTTAACGTCCAGGGTATCAGGGTGAAACATTAAAATGTATTTTTTAATGAGTTCTGGGTAACAACAAAGTCAACAACCAACAATGTAGTCAACCAAAACATTATGCCAAACCACCATTGTGCTCACACATTGAAATAATGTATGCTTATGTTCCTTGACAGTTTTTTGATGCATATGCGCTTTTGACTCTTGCTTTTCACCTTTAGGGTGTTGATGACTTCATATATGTCATATAACATCAAATACAGTCAGCTAACCCTTTAAAGCTGTCTGTCTGCAGGATGTCCACTCATCCTTCTCTTATAATGTATGTGCATGAACATCCACCCTGCAGCTTCCCTTATAAAGACTATCGGAGGGATTCTAGTTTAGTTGGATCAAATCACCACTCAGTCAATCTTAAAAATACGTCGCTTCGTTTTGGTATATGACCTAAACGCCACTTCAGGCCTGAGTAAAGTGAATTAGCCGAGGGGAGGAAAGAGGAACGTTGCTTTTTAAATTCCTCTGCTGTTGGTTTAAAAAGATGCCTGTTACTCCAAAGCCTCCTCTTCCTCCCCCTCCTCGCCCCAGATTGGAAGCCCCCACCATGCTGGCCGTGTGCCTGGAGAGACGGAAGGCTGCACAGAATAGAGAACTTGAGCAGAGAATTTCTACTGTCAGATAAAGGTTGTGTTTTTCTTCTGGAGGGAGAGTGAGAGAGAGACCGATTGAGTGGAAGGAAGGGAGATTCAGAGTGAAGCGAGATCAGGAAATCGCTTGCCAACAAGAGCACCTCTCCTGCATGCATTACCATACATTACCATCGCTGGCTCATCGACGTGTGTGTGCGCCCTCACACCTTACGTCTTATAGGTTCTACCGCTATCCTAATTGTGTCTGTGCAGCATAATGCTTCCCGCTAGACTGAAACTCTAGAGCACTCAGCTCACCCAAGGCCCATTACACACACTCACACACATGCTCCACTGTAAAGCAATCCCTGTGCATCGACAATTTGTCTTTGCCCTGGAGCGCACAGGTTGTCCAGCCGTGCGTGTATAGCGCAGAGTGGCATATTGCTTACTATCATTACTATTATATTACACTATGAATCCTGAGCACAGAAATACCTGGATGACCTACTGCATTTGCCTGAATGTGCCGTATAAATCCAGCACACAGAATGGGATCCCACAATGCATTTTATGTGCTTAACTTGAACTTTTTTTGTCTAGTGTGACAATTTTTGATTTTTGATTTCCACTTTACTAATAAATTGCCAAAGTGATGACGTCACTTTGTAGGACAACTCGGGTTCCCTCGATCAAAAAGCTATGCATTTTTCCCATAGACTTTTGGAAAATCGCAAAAACTAAGATCTGTGTTTAACAAAGAGTCGGGACCCTTACACGTTTTGTCCATCAAGATAATCTTTACAAGTTAATCCAAAATGTATACATTTTGAAGCCTATATAAAGTTTTTTAAAAACACAAGCAGACACAATAAAGTTTAAAAAACCACAAGCAAGTTATAACTGTGTGTTCTACAAAGTATGTCATAGACCAAAACGTGAAAATATTTAGAGGCTTTGTTCACCACAGACCTTATTTCAGGTGATTTAGCAAAAATCCATTCAAAAATCCCATAGACTTTAGAGCGAGGGAACCGGTAGTGCTAAAGTGCTAACTCACTTCCGCTTTTGGCCTCGAATGTTACCAGATAACCAGATTAAATCAGCAGAATTTGTCCAATACATCAAAAAATCACCAAAAATCTTGAAAATGTTTCTGCGACCCCATAAATGGAAAGCTTTTTGAAGAATCTATGGATTTAATATTTTAATATTTATTATTATCCTTTTTTTTTCACTCCTGCAGAAGCTGAGTCTGATACACGTGAACAGTAATCAGTGTTTGGACAAGGCGTCTGAAGATGACAGTCAGGTGCCCAGCGTCAAGGACTGCACCGGGGGCCGCTCGCAACAGTGGCTCCTCCGTAACGTCACACTGCCCGAGATATTCTGAGATCGCACACGGATGGACAGATGGACAGACTCTCACAGCGATGCTGATGGAGAGAGAGCGTGAGAGAGAAAGGACTGCTTTCCTCTCAATCCTGGTGGTCTGCCTTCAAAATGATCTAAAAGAACAGAACCGCATATGTATATGAATCTCCCCATCACTCCACCTTGCAGAGGAAAAAAAAACGAACGATGGAGAGGAAGACTTGTGGAGAAAGAAACTTGAGTTCGATGCCCTTATCCTCCTCATTCGAGGAGCAGCGGACATTTTAGTTATGTTTACGAGAACGCCTCCCTTTTAGAGTATCAATGTGTGCGTGTTTATGTGAGTGATTGGAATGTGTGAGTCACAGTGTTTTCCACAGAAGTTTTTTTTTTTTATTTAAGTATTTTTCAAGCCTTGTAGAAGTGAAGGTTATCTAGCACATGAAGGAGAGGCTGTCGTGTGTTTGGGTGCATGTGAGATTTCAAGTGTCACATATCAGGATGGACGTACAGTGGTCTGCTATCTGTTAGAAGGTGGGGCTCCCCCTACTGGCAACTGACATTATGCTGAACTGTCTATCAATCTGTCTCAGTCAGTGGACTACCTGCAATCAATCACATATAGATCTATAATCAATGAACGTGATGACTGATCATCTAGGACGTGCTTCATATCGTCAGTGTTCATGTAACATTTTTATTTCTCTTCTTTTTTTTTACACCAGTGGTTGAAACCTTTTGGGGTTTCTGCAGTTTTGAGTGCCACGTACAAGCACTTTTGTTTTAGAAATTTGTTCCATCTGTTTAGTATAAAGGTATTATGGTAATTTGACACTCAGCTTCAGGACTGTGCTGAACTTCTCCCAAAACGATTGCCTTCCTCTGGATTCCAGCCCTTCTGCCGACATGGGCTATCCATAAGCTCATGGGTTGATCGGGGAGAGATGGATCATATTCTGTCATATCATCCAACAGTTAAAGGGCTTGGTCTCACTCTGTACATGCATGAGAAAGAACTCTTTAGTCTGATCTCTTTCTTTGTTTACGTTCACTTTCTGATTTTTGTGTAGAATTTCATCATTCATTCATTTGAAGCTGACAGTCTAGTGTCCGTGTCGTGTGAGGCACTGGAAGCTGCTCATCACGTTCATCTGATGTCTGATAGCATAAAGAGATTGCATTTCAGATTCATGCATTTCATTTTTCTGAATTTAGTTTTAAATGGTCCAACATTTCGTTTCAGCCTTGATGGTTGGAAAATGAAAGTGAACCCCTCTGTTATGAGAGTTGTCATGTCAGGAATCAGTTGTGATTTTTTTTTTATTTTCCCATAAACACTCGTCTTGACCCTGTCTAAATACTTCAAATGATCTGTACTATTTGTGTCAACGTGTACCAAAAGATAATTCTACATTCAAGAAAAAAAGGAGTAAAAATAATTATAAAGATTGTTTGTTGTGAGATACTAAATTGTAACATTGTGAATACAGATTCTAGATTCTGTAAGTAAATTGTGAGATTTGAAAATGCAAAATTCATTAAAAAGCTCATTTTAGCTTATTAATGCAGAAAAAATACCCTAAAAATTATGATTGTAGATTCTAAATAATAATAAAAAAAATCTATATTGTGAGATTTTAATTCTAGAATTTTAATTGTTTGTTTGTAAATGCAGATTCTAGATTCTGAAAAAGGATTCTAAATTGTATGATTTATATGTTTTAAATAAAAGGGTGGTTTCAATGCATAGGTTGGGTGAAGATCTTGCAAGCATTTGGACAGGGCCTCAAGATCATCTGTGTAGATGTGAGTGTGAACAAGTGTGTGTGTCTGTGTTTATATTTGTCAAAGGGATGTCTTTTGTTTTTGTCTTCTATGTTTAATTGAGGAGGGTTTGCCCTGCTGATTGGTGGGTTAGAGAGCCCTGTGTTGAGATCATCCACAGAAATAAACCACAGAAAGTTTACAGTCCAACTTCTCCATTAGCATTTATGATCTTTGCTCATGTGCGGACACACACAGAAAGTTTCATGGTTCAAAAACTGATCCACAAATCCAAAATCATGCTGCTCAATCACTTTATTATTAATAAACATGTTTATTGAGAACTGCTATGTTTGAGTTAGTTCCATGGCAGTGGATGGACATTAGGTTGTGATACAATGGGCCACCGTACAAGACTGTCAAAACACTATTTTGCTGGTTATTTAAGCTTAAATATGATCAAAATCATCACAACTTTCATAATTCTTCAAAAGTGCTTTGCCTTGTTTTGGTTTTATCTCTTGTTGGTGTTGAAGCATGGGTGTCATAGACCTTCTCAGATACTCAGATTAAAGGGTTAGTTCACCCAAAAATGAAAATTAAGTAATTAATTACTCACCCCCATGCTGTATCAACCCCACAAGACCTTCTTTCATGTTCGGACACAAATGAAGATATTATTATTTTTGATTAAATTTGAGAGCTGGATCACTACCACATAGGCACCCTAAGGGATTGAAACTTGACGGCCCAGAAAGTCAATGAATAAAATGTTTAAATATTCCAAATATAAGTTTATCAAGCGACGAGAATACTTTTTGTGCTAAAAAACAACAACTAAACTAACGACTTTATTCGACCATTCCTTTTCTTCCTTGTAGGCCTGAGACGAGAGTTCAAGAGATTTCCACGACGCATGCGCGAGAGGTAAAAACTTCCGAAATCTCCGTGTAAACAATGAGTGACGTCGACGCTTCCGGCGAAACGTTGGGCATGATTCAGGTTGAACATTGGGCAACTGATTCAGATCACTTTGGACATGACCGTGATCACACGAGGTAAAAACGATATAAATACTGTTCGTTTTCTCACACAAACCGCTCGTTTCGTGTCTTAGGCCATCAGTGTGTACTTACATTTACGAGTCATTAAATCATGTTTAATTTTGACTTCTCTGTGCATGCTCTTTGAGGTGGACCCCCTAAACCTGCATTATATGACTGACAGACAAGAACGGTTTGACCAAAAAATGTCAAAATTGAAAATACTGTAGAAACAAAGACACCTACATCTTGGATGCCCTTGAAGTAAGCTAAAACATCAAAAATTAATTTCAAAGTGAACTATCCCTTTAAGGCCATGGTACTAAAGAAAAACAATCTGTAGTTTTACATTTCATTTTACTCAGCTTTTGCTCTAAGATCTCACACCACTGCACTCAAAAGATTAAAGCACTGACAAGAACACTTAATAACGATCTAATTAGCCAGTGTTTGTTTGCCTTGGGGAAACTGAATTGGATAAACTCATTAAAAGATATTCTATTTCCATATTGCCATCTTTAGTTGAAGATTAAAATGAAAGTTAATTTTTAAATTAGGATATTTTTTCAAGTATATTAGTGGTTGAAAATAAAAAAGCGTCTTTTAGTTTAGCGAATTATTAATATTAAATCCAGATTTTAATTAAGTACCAGACAAGATCCTGCTTTTAATATGCAGTATCCTGTTCCTAAGCCTGAATGCATGGTTTCCCTTCTTCTTTTCCAACTGCTGATTTTTCCTCAGGAGTCCTACTTTTATGTTACGAGGCAGAATGGATTTGGTTTGCTGAATTGGCTGGACCAGTGACTAGTGAGTAGCATAAGGTTTGGAATGAACTGGTTCCTCTGGTAACCTGGTGCTTATACTATGCCCTTAAAATGCTTCAGTGTAATTACCATGTGTTTTGCGATTTTTTTTTTATATTGGTCATGCAAGTATGCTTTTGTCAGGTTTCATGACATTATGTAATAATTGCTGTTATTCATGACCTTTGAAATATTAACTTTTAAAACTGCGGATAAGTTTAGGCTATTGCAGTTTTAAACTGTCTATTATTTCATTAAAATATTCTCTTCTTTTGAAAGAAAAAAAAGTATGACAAATGGAACATTATTAATCAGAAACCGAAGCCACTCGTCCTGATGTTCATAACGCTCATTTAACAGGCGAGAGAGCCACTGCCTCACAGTGATCAGGCTTTTCTCATTCACTCACACTGCACCCGAGATAGAGATAGTCAATAGCCCAGTTCAGTGTAATTGAGAAAGAGTGAATGGCAATCGATTTCAATCCAACCTCAATCCATTCTGAGGTGGTGCAATTTATAGCTTTCTGGTATGATTGTGTGAGGAATGGCAGGTAACAAGTGAAGTCATCAGAGGGCATCTGGGGTCAAACGACACATTCGCTGCGGCCCAATTAAGAAGCTGCATCCTTCGAAGGCCGATTCAAATGCCGACTCGATAGGCCTATGCGTTCATTTCCCCGGCAATGAAGGATACAACAGATGGATCCTTCACCATAGACATACGTAGATGCCACATTCCACCGCTCCAGGCACGTCCTAGTAAGAATCAATGACGCCATAACATTGCTCAGGTTCAGGTTGTGAAACTGCAGAGATTTAAATTCCCGAAGAAATGGGATTAACTTTCACAATCGAGAATGTTTTGGTTTGTCTTTATATGTTTTTCCTATAGTATTTTTAATGTTTTTACTCTTACTGTGGTAACTTGTTAATGCCTGACGCCTTTGTCTTGTGTTTACGTTTAGCAAAATCATCTGCTGAAGTCTATTGCAGATATACTGTATAGATTTTGATGATTGCGCTGTTCTCTTGAAAGCATCAAACTTGTTTTGTAGCATTTCATTAAGCCGGAGACACACTTAACCTTCAAATGGTCTTCGTTTCCTGTTTACACTTCTGGGCTTCGGGGTCTATGCGACCCCAACAATCGATTGAGTAATTGTACAAAAAATATAAATTTTTAATCATACAAATAATATATCATTTATTTTTGTTTACTTCTCATCTATTCATTAATGCAGTGTTTTTGGAGATATAAAGTACTTTTGTATTCATATACCAAACAATTCCTCAACTACACCATTAGCTTGCATTTGAAATATTATTTTTTTTATGATACGTTGCATTTATGCTCTAGTACACGGCCTTCATTTCTGTGTAAAAATTTTCGGATTTATGCCGGATTCTTTTTTTTTTTTTAAACATGAAGAAAATATATTTCTTTTGTTTTTGTCTTTTACATTTCCCATTCATTTCATTGTGGGGTCAAATTGATCCCGAAGACCAGAAGTGTAAACTTTTTTTTTACATACCTTCAGGACAACCGAATCAAGCCCAGTTTTTTGTGTGTGTATAGATAGATAATGTATGAAA